AAAATTTACAGTAACTTAAATCATTACTTTAGAAAAAGAGATCAGAACTTTAGATTCCAAATTATCTTCTCCTTAACTCATGCAAAGTCTTTAAAAATTTATTTTCTCAAATGAACAAATCTCTGAAGATGGTGATGAGGCAATTTCAAACAGTATAATGCATACATTCACTGTCCAGAAAGAGTGAATACTGAGAAGCGTACTTCAAACTGCCTCAGGAAAAGTGGTGTTCAACAAAATTCTATTTCTTATTATTGCTCATCTGAATCACATTTTTTTAAAAAATGCATGATGTCACACAATGTGATAATAGTGTCACAAAATAACCAAAAAGGAGAAAAGATTTAAGGTATAGAAGAACTGAAGTTATGTATTTTTTAACCTTGGCATCTTTAAGAACCATAGGAAATACCAGTTTGATTAACTCAACAAATCAATGACTATTTTAAAAGGTTGTGATAAGACATTAGGAGGGAAGGTATGGAAGAAAACCTTGGAGGTTAATTGTAAACTACGTTAAGCTCCACAGCACTCCAAGTCCAGTGGGCATTCCTGTTAACAGTTTTCCTATGTCACAATGCCAGTGATGGAACAAGCATATTTTTCAGGTATGTTTAGAAAGCTAAGTAATGTCGTAAGCTGAGTTCTACACTCTGTAGTAAAACTAAAGATGCACTTCTCAAACTGAAAAATAATTTATGAAGACCTCTACTATTTGCAAATGTCAGAGAGATTCAAATAGACTTAAAACAAGTATTCAACTCTTCTGAAATTCACTGTAGTTTCCCATATGTATGGAGAATATTCTGTGAGTTCATGGTATTAGTAGAGTGTTAAGATAAAGACTGCAGGAACCACAAGTTGCTGGTTAATTCAGTTACACATACTTGGGAAAAAACCCAACACGAACATTATAATCAGAGGTCCACATTTAAGCCACATCATTCTGTATTTTTCTTCAAATGGAAGAACCAAAAGTTTCTTTTCAATTAGGAAAAATATTCTGAAACAATACTTCCGCTGAATCTTTTATTTTTCAACCTTTTGAAACAAAAGCGTTTCTATCACTTTGTCTTCCTGGATCTATCTACACACTTAGGAAAGACCTGAGTGATAAACACACCATGTACTTTGCCCTAAAGTTATTTAAGAATTGAAGGAATTTATCAATTCCCTTTATATCTCAGATTGTACTCTCTGTGGCAACCATGGTAGGTAGTAGCATCTATATAAAAAGAACTGTAACCTCTCTCTACTCTTACCCATGTTTACCCTATGTGTTTCTCAGTTCAAGTTACACTTTATATTCTACTTTAAAAACAATATAGCTCAATAATACAACTGCACTGTTTTTAATGGCCATCAACTTACAAGATTCTTAAATGCATAATTCATATGAAATAAATGCAGCCACATACATAGTCCTAAATAAAATATTAGTTTTAAAATCCAAAGAACAAAGACCATTAAAAACAGTTTATTTGCCAAATCCACTGAGAAACTAGAAGTAACTTAACAGCTGTCCAAATAGCCACAAAATATTAAAAACACTTCTGGCTCAATATAAATGACATCTGAAGTGAAATGCTGCCTCTTCCAACAGACATCTCATTTGTTTGCCTAGAACAATTTATACTTCATTTAAGCCAGCTGGTGTCTCTGTTTGCAGGCATGCATCAATGTCTACTGAACAATCTAAGTTCCTGTAAACCCTTTCCCATTCACAAGCTGCAATTTCCATTTTTAATGGCTAGTTTCCAGCAAATACAATGAGTTCTTACAAAAGAATTTAACTCTTCACCCAACTCAGTTCCTGAGGAACACTAGAGCAATGTTAGCAAGACATAAACATCATGTACAAAAGTGCCTAATAAACTCACAAATAATTTGACAAAGAATGTGCTCTTCACTAGACCAGTCATTCACTATACAAATTATGAAAAACATGCTGGATTTGAGGAGACAATCTCGTGTAATGCTGCATAAAATTCTGCTTTTATTAAAATAATTTTGTTCTAGGAAATGTCATGATAACCTTTTTGGCCAAATGGTACTATTTTGAGATGTTGTTTAAAAAAAAACAAAACAAAACAGTATAGGAGGACAGAACACTTTCAATCTGTTTTCAACTAACTTTACAGGCTGAGTATCACTACAACTAGAAAAAGCATTCATTTTCCCAACCCATAGTCAACCACACCTCACTGTCATTCTCTTTCCCTTTCCACATCTGAGGGTATTATAAACCTCTCTGCCCACACCCTAAACAGGAGTAGACAAACTTTTTTAATAAAGGACCAGACAGTAAATATTTGGGCTTTGGAAAAATACCATCTTTGTCACAGATAATCAACTCTGCTGTTATTTAAAGAAGAAGAAAATAGCATGGCTGTGTTCCAATAAAACTTTATTTGCCAGCTCTTTCACGTTATTGGTACTAAGTTGCAATAACATGAAAAACGGCTATTTTAACAATAGTCATCAAGTCAAACTTTGGATCATCTCCCTGGGATGACAAAATTAGTAACTAGGGTTTAAAATAGTTCCAAGTTCCTGAAACTATGTCTGAAGACACCAAGTATCCAGAGAAGAATAATGGCAAAATATCCATTTTACACCTACTCTGAAAAAGATTCATTACTCTAGTTCTAAATTAAACTATATCTGAACTCACAGAAATGAAAACAGATTTTCCAGCATCCCAATCACCCTCCACTTGTAATCTCAGTCACTTATTCAGCAAAGGATACATGTATACTCATTCACTCTTGTAGAGATTCAAGAACCACCACTATTAATTAAAGGAGGAATCTAAAATCTAGGTGCTTGGGAAAATTATTTCCAAGTTCAGTGACATGAAAACGAGGAAACGTTATACTTTAATACCTGCACAACACTGCAGCTCCCATTATGACAACATTATTACAAAAGCCATACAGTAGCATAACAAAACTAGTCAGGCAAACACAAAAATTAAATTACATATATAGAATGGCACTCAAAATTATGGCAAAAAAATAAAATTTGAAAAGCTAAGACATTAGCAACGTTTAACTGCTTTTCTCAAGTCAACTTTTTGTTATATTCAAATTAGTTCAAGTAACTTCTTAGTAGACTTAATAAAAATACTTTTGAGTTCAGAAAATGATCAAAACTTCCAAGAGCAAAAAAAAATACCTTACAGAAGACAGAGCAATATTTTAAAAAATGTGAATATGAATTAGGAGGCATAAGCAATTCTAGTACTCCCAGGCATTTTATACTATAGTTCATGTAATTGGAATCTGAGAGAATGCTAAGCCAACTGCATTAACCAATGCCACAAATAGATCAATGAAATGATAACATTGCAAAAGATCACAATTCTTTCTGAATAGGTCTCTTTAAAGTGAGAATAAGTGCTATATATATATAGCCTCTTGACTAGTTTACCATACGCTGCAAATTATTTCAGCACTGAAATATACTGTAATTCCCGAATGTAACAGTGTACAAACTCACCCCTCCACTGAAATTCGCTGCTGGCTAGCAGCTAGAGCTATTTTTAAGTGGCCTTATTAGTTATATTCCATGATATCATTTCAATTTTCAATGGTATCATTACATTTAAAAACGCAAACTCGAAGAATGCTACCCACCAGGAGTGTATTCATTCGAGTTGTTTCTTTTTTAAAGTAAAGCCGAACAATAAATCAAAGAATGTCTTCACTCAGAAGACAGTTTAGATATGATCGTTATGTAAAACTGTCTGGGAATTCCTGAAAATTTTCTACAACTCTAAAATATAGCTCCTTATGTGAGATCAATCATCCAATAGCGAAAAAATGGTAGCCTAAGTGTCTGAAGATCTTCTCTTTATATCTGGGGAGCACATTTAAAATACTGCCCTGATTTTTTTTTTAAGCTAATGATGACGAAAACACCTATGAAAAGGCTTTGTCTACAGGTCATATTATTACCAAAGCCTCACACAGAAATCTTGCACGCTACACACAAAGGAAACAGACTTGCACTTCCAGTCTACAAAAGCCTATCTCAGGACTGTGCCAGGGGCACACAAGTATTTCCAAAGTGCAGAAAAAACTGGGCAAACACACGCAGCACAAAGCAGCCGAAAGGCATTTCCCCATAGTCACTTTCAGGAAATGTTTCAAGATGAAAAGCAAAAATGGTCTGAAGTCCCTTGGCATCTTGGGTTGATTTCTTTATAATTCTCAAGACCTAGGCTGTTTTCTCCCAACACACTCTGATGGACAGAAATAAAGCACTTCCAACTAAAAACTACTTACTCCCAATTTTCGACACAATTTGCTTTACATATTAAAAGTTAGTTTCTCAAGGTCTACACAGATAGTGTGATCACATTACAGTATTCGGGAAGAGCATTTTCTTTGTTGTTGACCCTGCTAGGGAAACAGGTCTTGACTCAGCCAAAGTGGCGTTCTTATGGGTGATTAATGACAGGCCTAGATCTCGCCCCAGTGACATCCATCCCCACCCCCCACCCCCTCTGTACTAAAATCGGCCATGTCTGAGCTGGAGGAGGGGCGGCAGCCTCGCCTCAAACCACCCAGAGTTAATAGCTGCAACCAATCGATTCAGAAAGACAGAAGCATTCAGGTGAAATGTGACTCTTCCCTCACCTAAATTTATGAACAATATCGCCCTCTGATCATTTCCGCTGGGGCTCTCCCGACTACGGAAACCTTCAATTCCAGTCACCCGGCCCTAAGAAAAGGATCTTCCTCTTCCCCACAATACCCGGCCAGGGCCGGCCTCTCCCCCCACCGACCGCCCCCCGCCCTTGACACCAGGCCATTTCTATTGTGTCCCCAAAACCCGGATAACCGAATTCAAAGAAATGTGGTCCCCAGCTTCCCTAGCCAAGAGCGTGGGGGGCACTCAGGCACCCCACCTCTGCGGCCTCCCCCGACGCCCCGGGACCCCGGTTCTCCAGGACACCCCCCCCCGCCCCCGGCGGCCGCGGAGCCGAGTCCCACCTGTGGTGAGGCGCGAGGAGACGTCGCCGAAGGGGGACGGCTCCATCCGGAGATACTTCTGCGGCGAGGCGGCGGCGGCCGAGAAGGCGGCTGCGGTGGTCGCGGCGGCCGACAACGGGGAGGCGGCGGCCGAGGTGGGCGCCGACACGGGCGCGCATCGCCGCCGCTTCGGGGACGCCGGGCTCAGCAGCGGGTCGAAATCCAGAGTCCTTTTCAAAGTGGCTCCGCACGCCATGGCTGGGGCGGCCGCGCCGCTGGGTGCGGGTGGGGTCGGGGAGGGGTGGCGGGAGGGGAGGGCGAGGACGGGGGAGGGAAGGGGGGACTCGCGGGTCGCCTAACCGACGGGCTCAGCCGCAGGCAGGCGAGAGGCGAGGCCGCGGGGAGAAGAGACGCCGCCGCTGCCTCCGCGGCAGGGGCAGTGGCCGGGGGCCGGCCCGGGCGGGAGCGGGAGGGGCGGTGGCGACAGCCCACGCCAGCCGCGTCAGGGGGGCTCTTCCGCCTCCTCAGGCGCGGATCCCCCGGGAGAGGCTCCGGCCGCCCCCGCCGTCCGTTCGGGCTTTGCGCCGCGCCTGAGGTGCTCCTGCGCGGAGACCGGCTCCCTTCGGAAGTCGATACCAGCCGCGTGAGGCGTGAGGCTGGGACGCGGCTCCTCAAACGCCCAAGGAGGGTCAGAAGCTTGAGAGCGGCGATCGATGCGGAGGGATTGCGAGGTGGAGGCGGCGGCGAGCGCTCAAGGGAACACGTCCAGTCGCTTCCCCCTCCACTGTACGACTATTCCACCCGCCGCCGGCCCCAATATGGCGTCAATAACAACGCCGCCGATTCAAATCCTGCGGCCTCAGGGCGCGTGCGCAGAGGGGTAGCCTCTACCGAATGTGCATTCTGGGAGTTGTAGTTTTTCCCGGTGGGAAGGAATCAGTGTCAAAGGCGGTTAGGAAGGAGTTACAGAAACTACGACTCCCGTCATTCAAAACGCGCGAGTCCGAGTTCCGGGTTGGAATTTAAATCCCCCTACACAGCTAGAGTGTGAAAGGAACTAAGGCAAACAGAAAAAAAAAAAAAAAGAACCGGCTCTGAGAGTAGGAAAGAGGAAAGCGAACCAGTGGGGAAAGCAGACTTTTTTTTGACACAAGAAGAGAGTTTTAAGAAGAGATCTTAAAATTTCATGACAGTTACCCTCATACCGCTCCCAGTGAGATTTAACAACCAAGAGATAGAACACGAAGCCAACTTAACAGATTGATTTCGGTAATAAGAGTGCCAAAAACAAAACCTGTCACGTCGAGGGGCTAGAAAATAATGAGATTATGGCATCTATTTAGTACAGAAAGTGGGAGAGCGCGCGAGCGCAATAATAGTATCTTATTATAGGATCCATGCTTGAACTCGATGCTTTGTCTTTCCCAGGTCGCTGCTGGTATCTGGTTATCACATTATGCAAAGTCAGCTTTATCCTGTAAATGAATAGAATTTGAACGACGCATAGAGTTAGATTGTTTTGCTTTGAATAAAAAGCGAAGGGTATCAGAAATGTATTAATCTCTGTTGAACATCGTGAATGGTAAAAACGAAACCCAGACAACGAAGTGTCTAGATAGTAGATATTGATCCCTTTTATAAGAGAAACAATTTACTGAGAAGTTGTACTTTTACTCATATCTGAAATAAGAATCAAATACGTCATTAATTAAAAAAGGTTATTAAAAACTGTCACCAGTCCAATACAAAACTAGTTATCTTGTATAATGCCATTGTCAAATGATCGTAGTTATCAAATACTGGTTTTTTAAGCGATTTAGTTATTTCATTTGTTAAGTAAAAGATGTTTTGTACCGTTTTGTCTTTATTTTTGTATCAGTTTTGCACAGTAGTTTGATATGGTTTATTCTTGTTTTAAGGAATTAGTCAACCCTTCAAAGATTCATAGTCCCGACCACACTATTTGTGTCAACAACTGAGACATGATCATTTTAAGACATTATTCTGTTTGAAAAATATCGCTTCAGAAGACAAGCATTTAATAAAACGGGATCTTAGCTATGACACCTAATAGGTAAATTTCTTTCTACACTCTTAACTCTCCATGAAATCTATAATATGTTAAAATTAATAGGATATGCTTATCTTATTATATGAGAAGGGAAAAGTAAAGTCAACCCATGGAAAACAAATAACAAAGAATTCGTATTCCTGGTAATTTTTTTAAATTAAGATTTGACCTACAGTTATAAAAACTTACATCAGAAAGGGAGTATTATGAGTTGAAACATGTCTGCTCAAAATGGATAGGTTGAAGTCCTAACCTCTAATACCTCAGAATGTTACCATATTTGGCAATAAGGTAATTTCAGCTGTAATTAGGTGAGGTGGGGTCATACTGGAGTAGGATGAGTTCCTAATCCAATATAACTAGTATTCTTATAAAAATGAGAAATTTGAACACAGGCAGAACACCATATGAACATAGATCAAGGTGATATGTCTACAAGACAAAAAAAGCCAAAGATTGCCAACAAATCCCCTACAGATTCTCTCACACTCTAGGGAAGGAAACAACTCTGCTAATAACTTGATCTCAGAGTTCTAATTTCCAATACTATGAGACAATAAATTTCTGTGAAGTCATACAATTTGAAGTATTTTGTTGTAGCAACCCTAAGAAACTAATATAGGGGACCTTCCTGGTAGTGCAAGGGTGTTGTAGAGCAACCCCAATACAAAACCGGGTGCCTGACTGTGGGTCCTCACCCGAGCACTTAAAAGGACTTATCAACTCCACCTTCAGGTCCCAGCCACCCTCCCTTTGGTGGTGATGGGATCTGTCTTTCTCAATGTCTTGATGGCTTTAGTCTGGAGTGGGGGTGGGGTCCACAAAGCCTGTATGGGATTAACTCAGGACATCATTTCCCCCTAACAAAGGGTTAAACACCGCACTATGAAGCAATCCACAGCCTCTGCAGCACAAGTTCAATCCCTGGTGGTCCAGGGAGAAACCCACATGGCAAGGCAGACCTCTCCTGTCTCTCCTGCTGCTCCCCTCAGCAGTGTATTTCAGTCACTCTGCCTGTTCTGTTCCCTATGACAGCCACTGCAGCACCAGTTCAACCTCCAGCTGGCCAGGGAGCAACCCACATGGTGCAGCAGACCTCTCCTGCCTCGCCGGCTGCTCCCCTCAGCAGTGTATTTCAGTACATTCTGCCTGTTCTGTTCCCACCCTCTCTGGTGAATCCTCTCATTCCCTCCCCCCACCCCCCACCTCTGGCTTACACCCCAGTTCTTTTTTTTTTTTAAAGATTTATTTATTCATTTACACAAGAACCAGGGTATAGGCCAGATGTACGGGAGAGTGACAGGATTCACCAGAGGCAGAGCGGGGAACAGAACAGGCAGACTGATGAAATACACTGCTGAGAGGAGCAGCGGGCACAACAGGAGAGGTCTGCTGCACCATGTGGGACCCTCGCTGGATGGAACCAGCGCTGCAGAGGCTGCTGACAGCTTCACAATGTGGTGCTCAACCGCCCGCCAGGGGAGGCCCCACCCCAGTTCTTATATGCATAAAATAAATAAATCTTTAAAAAAAAGAAAGCTATCAATATTCATTAATAAGTTAAATCAGGTCACATAAATGTAAATATATAATATGGTTAGTGGTTCCAGAGAACTCACAGACCAGACTTGCTCTTGTTGTGACTAAAAGACTGATAGCAAGTTGTAAATCTTGAAATGCTTAGTTTTGCCACAATCCAGCCATTAGTTTTGGATTTGTACAACGTTAGATGCCTCTGAAGAAGGCTTTTAAAGTCTTGCTTGCTATTAGACTTTTCTAACACATCCCAAGATATTCTGCAAGATCTGATTTTGATGAGTCATTCTTTGAATAAAGCCAGTGAAAGTAGTCATAGGTAGATGATACAAAATCTCATCATCCTGAGCCTGAAGATCCTCTCTCTACCATAAATAATTTTCAAACAATTTTCTGATTTAAAGTAAAAATAAATGCAGATGTAAAGTGTGGAGAAGTGTTTGCTGACTTTTCATGCTGAGTTTGAGTAATCATAAGCTCAGCACTAGGAAATAGAAGTTCTAATTCAGAAGTCACTTCAAATCTATATTCAGAGCAAGCATTGCCTAGGGCAAAAAAATGTTTAATCATTGTGTAAATGAGTGCAGTAGGAAAAAAAATAGACATTGTAATTCTTTCCACCTAAGATTTTACAGGCTGGTTGGAACCTCTTCTAAACACCATATTTGAAAAACATAACATTTTCCACTGTAGATATTACACTGGCTAATTTTACTTTGATTTTCTTATTTTGGATTTGGTTGTTATTTTGAGTTGATTGGATAGATCAACACAGAGCAATCAAAACTATTTATCTGTGATTTTAAAAGGTGACCTAGTGTAATCCCCTGCCTGAAGGTAAGATCAGATGACTAGGTAACTCTTTAAGCCAATTCAGTAGATATCTGAGTCTCCCTCAGCATTTTCAGGAACACCTCAAGTCAGGCTCAAATGTGAAAATGCAACTAAAAAATGCTCATAGCTACCTTTAACCTCTTCTCCCTCAGAGGCTGATTTCTTCTTATATAGTGCTCTGTGGAGAACCAACCACTCCAGGAAATAAGCTGTCATTTGTGCTGAGGGACTTTGAAAGAAAACACAGAATCATTTCTGGGCAGACAAATTAAGTTTTTGTGAAGACCTTGTTTTGCAATTTACATATTTTTCTCAAGAAGGTATCCTCAAATATTTGTACCCTTATTCAACTATTTACTCTTTTCAAAAATTAAATCATGTGTGGGGGTTTGATTTTCTGGTCCAAATCAATTAAAAGAATCAAATGTAAGGAGATATAAAGGGGACTTGGAGACGCTATACTCTTACTACAACAAGCAATACATTCATTGGAAAGCAAGGAAAAAGATTACAAAACATAAAATTCAAAGAGCACAATGGCATTGAAGTACCAAAGTGACAGGACAATTAGCCCTCCATAGCTCACCGGCACCTGAGGCATTCACACAATAATAGTAGGGCTGCCAGATTTTACAAATAAAAATATAAGATGCTCAGTTAACTTTGAAAATCAGATAAATGTAGAATAATTTGTTGGTTCAAATATGTTCCAAAAATTGCCTGTGTTTATTTATAATCTAAAGTTTACCGGGATTCATGTACTTTATCTGGCAACCCTGAGACTGTGACCCCAAGTCATCAATGAAACACAAAGTATGTTTAGTATGCAGTTTAAAAACTGTGTTACATGTACAATTTAGAAAATGTTTCATTGATCGTATATCAAATTAAGAAAATAAACTTTCAGTTGTCTAGAAAATTTATATGAAATGCTTTGAGTTATGCATACTCTAGCTGCAGCTGAGTGCCAGGCATAAAATAAACACTCAATAAACATTGGATGAAGAGTGAAAAGCTTAACCCATCTCCCCAAGGGGGGGGGGTCACTTCAAGCCCCAGAAGGCTGTCCCTAAGCCCTCCTAGTCACTTGCTTTTAGAATTCCTTCACACCTGTAGCAGGTGTCACTCCTGTTGTCCTGCTTGAGTTCACGCCTGACTCAGAGTTGCTGTCACTGTCCTTGTCAGGTTCGTGTTCCCTTTTGCGTCTGCTGTCCTGGGCCTGCATGATCCACCACAGACCTTCCCTGATGAAGTCTTTCCAGAGAATGAAATGATGCCTACTCCGCCCTAGTATCTTGAGTTCTCTTCTGCAAGTCCCTAGTTACAGGGTCAGTCAGATGTGGAGGTATGAAGAAAATGAAGAAACCAGCCCAACTCTTTCCCTAGG